AAGGGCCGGGGGGAAATAGCTCAGTGGTGGAGTGCTCTGGGCTTGATCCTTGGTATCACAGGCACATACAAAAAGGTATGGTGAAAATTAATAAGTAAAACATTAAAGCTTTTCAGGTCAGGGTTTATTTGGGTATGAGAAAAAGGAGGGAGCTCTTTGGACGTAAAGAGAAGATATGATCATAGAATCTAAGAATTATAAAAACAAGTATCTAAATGGATACCATAAAGAAAGAGTTCTGGTCCAAGTCAAGTAAGAAAAATTGTACATATAATTATGTAAATATATACATTTCTATTTGTAATTAAAAATAAATTAACTAAAGAGACAGAAAACTAATGAGTCCCTAGAAGGCCAGGGGAATACTGGAGAGGTCACTTCGGGCTGAGCCATAGCCATGGTCTGAGGACCCTCAGTCAGACCTTCCTGGGGCTGAGCCTTGGGGAAAGCAAGGCCTTGAATCGATGCTGGGAGTGGCGCCCAAGACTGGAATGGACTTGGCTAACTCTGCCAGTTTCATAACCTCTGGGGTCTTCCTGTGTTGTCCCATGTTACCAGCCTCTCCCTTACGGTTACTACCTCCCCATTAGAAATAAAACAAGAGCATACAGAATTCCTTGAGACATGGTTCTCTTTAACTATGAATGTCTTTTTGTAGACCTCCCCACCCCCCCTTACTCCCCCAGTGCTTGAGATTAAACCCAGGATCCCATGCATGCTAGGCAAGCACTCCACCACCAAGCTCCTCCTTGGCCTTCGCTACTTCTCAGCCAACTCCCTCTGGCAGTACTGTGCTCTTACTGATCTGTGTCCGTAAACCACTTCTGCATTCACTTGGTAATGGGTCACCTTCCTGACCACTCTGTCGAACCACTCCCCAGTAACCCTTAGACATGCTTTGCTCAAGACTTGGGAGCCTTAGAACACTTTTGGCCCCCTTAAATGTCAAGGTTCTAGATTGCTTGCAGTTGAAATGTATCCAATGAAATGTAAGGGAAAAGAATCTCTTTTGGAAGGCGGTAGATACTGTAAGTTACCTCCTGCTTTTCCCTTGCTAACAGAACTGACTTGAATGGCTTGGGTATAGAGTTGCTAAGCCTGAATGGACCTCCATTCTCAGCCTCCCTAATAAGTAGTGGCCATGTCACACATTTCTAGCCAACAAGTGCAAGGGGACGTCACTGAGAGGACATCTGGGAAGGAGCTGAGCCTGCTTTTTGCCTTGTGCACAGTGGTGTGATGTGAGGAGGTAAGTGCCATTCCTTACCTGCAAGGCCTTGAGCCTAAGGCAGGAAGGGCATGTGCCAGGGGTGGCAGGGTGGCAGGTCAAAAGTGCCTGAGCTTCTGTACACTCTGTCGAAGCTCTGTACTAAATACTGTGTTGTGTTACCACTAAACAACTTGGGATAGCAGTAAATGTCACTTACTGACATAATTAAATAGGATTTATAGTTGATGTCCTGGTGGTTGTATCCAGAAAAGCTGAGTCCGCGTGTAACTGACTCTGATACTCTTTATAACTCTCGGAATACAGAAGACTGGAAAAGGCGCCTGGAGAAATGAATGGGAAAGGGGTCCACAGCCACACTACATTTCGGCTTGTACTTGAGACAGTGTGGCTGGGATGCTGCCTGTGGCACTGCCTGGTGCTGTCTTGGCCCTGGTGCTGCTGCTCTGCATTGCTGACTGTCCCAGCAGCTGTAGAACAGCGCTGTCCAGTGGAAACGCAGAGCAAGTCGTGAATGTGATGTGACGTTTTCTAGCCACACTAACAAAAATGAAAAGGAAGGGCCAGGCCTTTAACTCAGTGGTTCTGCCGCAGTGCCTGGCAAGTGCAAGGTCCCGAGTTCCATCCCCGGTACCAAACGAATGAACAAATAAACACCAAAAGTGAAAAATAATAGGATGGTTTTAATGGTATTTTATTAAAACTTACACATCTATAATAACATTTCAATGTGTGATAAGTATAAAAGAATTATAAATGGAATTTTACATTACTTTTCATTCTGGGTTTCAAAGTCCAAGGTGCATTTTACCCTTATGGCACATCTCGGGTGTACTAGCTGCTTTCTAGGTGCTCTGTAGCTTCATATGACCAGTGCCTTGTGTGCCTTGGCTAGCATAGCTCTAGACTCAAAGCACTGGGCTACAGGGTCTCATTAGCCAAACTACCTGACTGTGATGCTTCTACAAGTAGAAGATGAACTGACTCTGTTCCCTCTAAGTGGAAAACCCACAGAAGAGCTGGAAATTGGGCAGCCAAGGAAGGCAGGTGCTCACTGTAGCTGATGACTTCTGTATTTCTAGCCTTGTTACATTTCTAGTTTTATACTATCTACTCATTTCTTGAGATCTAGCTTCTTAACATATGTTGAGTCTGAGATGTTTACTGTTTATCTTTTGACATCAAAGTTTGCCAACCCTTGCCTTGAAGGGGCAGTATTAGAATTATGTGCGTTAGATCTGTCAGCTCTCCCTCTCGGCCTCCGCCCTCCGCCCGTGCCCGCCGGAGCCTGTTCGCATCGACTGACCAGAGTCCGCGAATTCTCTGCTCCTAGCCCCTCCAGACTACCTCGAACTCAGCTTCCTGCCATTTGAAAACACTAAGACTATGTCCCTGCATCAGTTTTTACTAGAGCCAATCACCTGTCATGCCTGGAACAGGGACCGTACCCAGATTGCCCTTAGCCCCAATAATCATGAAGTTCACATCTATAAGAAGAATGGAAGCCATTGGGTGAAAGCTCATGAACTCAAGGAGCACAGTGGACACATCACAGGTATTGACTAGGCTCCCAAGAGTGACCGCATTGTCACTTGTGGAGCTGAACGCAATGCCTATGTCTGGAGTCAGAAAGATGGTGTCTGGAAGCTGACCTTGGTGATCCTGAGGATTAACCGCGCAGCCACTTTTTTGAAGTGGTCACCTCTAGAGAACAAATTTGCTGTGGGAAGTGGAGCACGACTCATTTCCGTTTGTTACTTCGAGTCTGAAAATGATTGGTGGGTAAGCAAGCACATTAAAAAGCCAATTCGCTCTATGGTCCTCAGCTTGGATTGGCATCCCAACAATGTTTTGTTGGCAGCAGGATCATGTGACTTCAAATGTAGAGTGTTTTCTGCCTACATTAAAGAAGTGGATGAAAAGCCAGCCAGTACGCCCTGGGGCAGCAAGATGCCTTTTGGCCAGCTGATATCAGAGTTCGGTGGCAGTGGCACTGGTGGCTGGGTCCATGGTGTCAGCTTTTCTACCAGTGGGAGCCGCTTGGCCTGGGTCAGCCATGACAGCACTGTGTCTGTTGCTGATGCCTCAAAAAGTGTGCAGGTCTCCCTCTGAAAACTGAATTCCTGCCCCTCCTGAGTGTGCCGTTTGTCTCCGAAAACAGTGTTGTGACTGCTGGTCATGACTGTTGTCCGATGCTCTTTACGATGACTGCTGCTGCTTGACCTTTGTCTCCAAGCTTGACATTCCAAAACAGAGCATCCAGCGCAACATGTCTGCCATGGAAAGGTTCCGCAACGTGGACAAGAGGGCCACAGCTGAGGACCGCAATACAGCTTTGGAGATCCTGCACCAGAATAGCATCACTCAAGTGTCTATTTATGAGGTGGACAAGCAAGATTGTCACAAATTTTGCACTACTGGCATCGATGGAGCCATGACAATTTGGGATTTCAAGACCTTAGAGTCTTCAATCCAGGGCCTCCGAATAATATGAAGCTGAGTGACCCCGACATCCAGCATGAGAACGGCGGCTGAGTGCGGCCCTGCCATTCGCATGACGGTGAGGAAAGCCAGCCCAGGAAACACTGTAACACAACCGCACAAATATTGTGTGTTTTTGTTTGAATATAATTGGTGAAAGTTTTGGTTTTCTTAAAAGCTGCAGTGATTTGATTTTGTTTTTGCGATTTCATTCCATTCTTGACCAAAGCTTCTCTTTAAGTAGTTTATTATGGAATTGCTACACTAACTTAAGGAAAGGGTGAAGGAGGTATGTAAATTGTCTGCTAAAAAATTAAATAAAAATGCTGAATGTTAAAAAAAGAAGAATTATGTGTGTTAAGGCAGTGGTGGCAAACCTGTGGTGTGTGGGTCACAGCAGGCACACACAGCCTTCTCTGTGGCTGTGCCAGCCAATTTGTCCCTGCAACTGAGCATCAGTTAACAGTTGTTTTTTTTTAAACTAAAATCTGAGTATTCAGGTTTAATTGCAGTGTTGGCACTTTGCAATAAATAAGTGGGTTTGGGTTGCAGTTTGGACACTGGGTCTCTAACTGTCTCGCTATCACTGTTCCAGGGTGTGAGTACGGGCCAGTCGGCCAGGGTCAACTAGAATTACGATGCCAAGTCCAGGCCTGCCTAAACACCCTCCCCACTGGGTGTGTAGTGGGAAGGTCTAGTGCTGGAGTACAGTGAGGCAGAAGGGCAGAAATGTCAGCTAGTGGTCAGCCTTGCCTCTACTGATATTATTATGTTGCTTCCTTCTTTTTGGTTCATTCTTGGACTAAACCTGATGTTATTTGCCTGATGTTGTGGGTGCTGGTGAGTCACAATGAGTCAGGTACTTCCTGCCATCAGGAGGATGATCAATGTGTGTGAGATGATGTGAATGACATGGATATAATTATCCACATCTGTATAAAAATTTGAAAAGAATTAAGAGAAAAGAAAAGGGAGAAAAAGCAGGGATGACAGCAGTACATATCCTTTAAGGACACGAGTATTTCAGATGCATAAAAGTTTCTTCTCTGTAAAACACTCTATGTCCTGTACCCTGAGTAATTACTTTTAAGATTATAATACAGTATGTGAACCACTGTTACTCTTATTTTGTTATGAAATTTTAATTTTTCAATAAAATAAGTAGATCTTTTGACATTTTGATTTAAACACGTAGATGGTACATTTTTACTGTAAGTTTTGCTTGTGAAGAAAATGCCAATTTTTGTAACACTTGTTTTCTTTTTGGAATGTAATTAAATTTATGTTTTAGGTTGCCTGCCTGATTCGAGTTCCTTCTGAAGTGGTTAAGCAGAGGGCTCAGGTGTCTGCTTCTTCAAGAACATTTCAGATTTTCTGTAACATCTTATATGAAGAGGTAAAATACATTTTTAGGCTTTTTTCTTTATTGAGGAAGATTTTGTAGTAGTTAACGCTAGGAGGCTCATTTCAGGAGCCTTAGAAGAAGCTTAGAGCTGAATTTAATCTCCAGTTATAGTAACTTTTTTTCTTTTTGGCTGTTTATTTTTTACTTTGTTTTGAATTTTTATTTTCACTTTTCATATTTCTGTACAGACACATCTTGGATGCTCCTTCTGTATGTGTCCTGAGTTGTGATCTTCCTGTAGTTAATTTGGAGTCAGATGTGGGACACATTAGAAATATGTAAAATGAATTAAAATATTAAGATAACGTTACAGTATTTGAAGCCCCATGGAAGAGAAGTATAATAATAGACTAATAACAGTGAACAACAAAATAGTTATATAAAAATATGGTTTTTCTCTTTCTGGTCATTGTTAGCTGTTGGTCAGAAATTATTCTTCCTGTTTTCCTAGCCTTTGGCTAGAAGCATTTAGCTATTTCCTTTATAGGGTTTTGTTTTGTTTTTTGTTATTTGGTGGTACTGGGGAATAAACTCAGGGGTGATCTAACACTGAGCTAAATCCCCACCCCTTTTTTAAATTTTAATTTTTGAGACAGGGTCTCACTACATTGCCTAGGCAGGTCTCAAGCTTCCAGTGCCCCTTCATCTTCCCTAAGCTCTGGGGTGCCAGGTGTGTCCACCATGCCTGGCTCCTTTGTAGTTTTTACAGAACTGGGTTTTTGGGTTTTCTTTGTTTTTTCCTTGTTTTGTGGTGTGCTGGTGATTGAACTTGGGGATATTCCACTGAACTACCTGCTCTACCTTTTTTTAAAATCAGAGTCAGGGTCTTGCTAATGTGCCCAAGCTGGCCTGGAACTTTCAGTCTTCCTGCTACAGCCTCCTGATTATAGGCATGTGCACTATGCCTAGAATTTTTTTTCCCAGGACTGGAAATTGAATCTACAGGGCTTTTGCACTACTAAGCACAACAGCCTCAAAATTTGAGATAGGCTCTCACAAAGTTGCTCAGGTTGCAAACCTGTGATCCTTCTGCCTTAGCCTCCCAGAGTGATAGAGTTATAGCACACCTAGCCTACTTTTGTTTTGTTTTTTGAGATAAGATCTTACTGTGTGGACCTGGCTGGCCTTGAACTTCTGGGCTTAAGCGATCCTTTTGCTTCAGCCTCTTGAGAAACTGGGACATGCCACTGCATGTGTATGCATTTTTTGTTGTTGTTGCTGTTCCTGTTTTGTTTTTCTGTTTCATGGGAGTCAATCTTACTGAATTTAGATTTTAGAAAAGTGACGCTTAATGGTCCACCACATAGATGAGGAGATACTGAATGAGACCAATCGTATGGGATCTCCATTGGACCAGGTGATGGTTAAATAGATAGATCAAGGTTTGTCTAGAAATATATACCACTACTTTATTGAGAGATTATTAGTGAGCTTCTGGTGTAAAAAATATGAAATACAATTCTCTTATTTGAAAGGATAATTCATATTTGTGTACATTTACTTTGGAAATATATCTGAAGCATCACAAATTTTTTTTTCAAGAAGAAAAATGTTGAATAACAGCAGCTAAAACTAAATTAATATGGAGCCAGTTTTCTGTTTTGAGATGTATCCACTTAAAAAGAAGCTAACCTGAGATTTGTATGTCTTGTGCCAATTTAGAACTTTTAACCTCTTTGTAGAACTGTGGTGTGGCCCAAATTTTAGAACAGGTAAATCTCCTTGTTTCAGACTATCATTTAGAAATCCTCATTGCTATTCTAAATTCTGAGCTCCTGACTTTGTTTGTTTGTTTGTTTCAGGGCCTCCAAGGATTATATCGAGGCTATAAAAGTACAGTTTTAAGAGAGGTAAGTCACTTAACTTCCATCATTGAAGAACAAAAGAATGATATGCTTTGTTAAATTTATATTTCTTAACAGTCAGAAATATATTTGGGGAAACTGGTTTAAAAATCAAAAAGGGAAGTTATCACTCTTCTAAGCGCTAAAGATATGACCAGCCTTTTGCCTGTGTGTTGCACATGCCTTTGTTACAATAAAAAATGTTTTAAAAAGGAAGTTTTGTTAGTGGCATAAAGTAACTGTATTATGTACCTTATATGTGGCCTAAGACAATTTCTCTTCCCTCATTGAGGCCCAGGTGAGCACTCACTTGATCATCTTGGGATTTTACCTCTAAAAGAATTATGGAATGGGTTTGTACATCTTGTGGCCTGTTACCCTGGAGTGGCCAAATGTCTCTTATAATCAAAATACTATGAAATCACAACTAAAATTGAGATATCAAATTACTGTAACATAGAGAATTAATGCAAAATTGGTAGAGAAATAAGCACTCTGAGACCGTTCTTTTAAAAGAATGTATTGTGGAGCTATTGCTTGGCTCCCTGATATGGGAGTAAAATGAGCTGTGGTGGTTGGCTGTGGTGTGGAGGCCTGATACTGCTGACAAGTGACTTGGAGTGCAGTGTGTGCAGGTACTCAGTGCCTTCACATGCTGAGTCCTTCAACTATGTGGGACATTTTCTTTTTTTCTGAGTGAAAAAGTAAAACTTTATCATCAATAGGTGATTTCATTAGATTACTACAGGTGGCATGTTTTAATCTTTGTCTCCCATAAGAGAGACTGTTTTTGAAGTTTGAAAGTTGATTTTTAGATAGTGAGATACAAGCGAAATCTTTGGTTTGTGACATAATTTTATATTAAAACACAAGGGAGAACTTGTGTGTGACTCTACCACATCTGTATTTTGAAGTTCCATTCATACCAAAGCATTTTCAGTGTAATTAAAGTCATGTTTTAATCTTTGTCTCCCATAAGAGAGACTGTTTTTGAAGTTTGAAAGTTGATTTTTAGATAGTGAGATACAAGCGAAATCTTTGGTTTGTGACATAATTTTATATTAAAACACAAGGGAGAACTTGTGTGTGACTCTACCACATCTGTATTTTGAAGTTCCATTCATACCAAAGCATTTTCAGTGTAATTAAAGTGTATCACAGCTGGCAGAACATTGAATTTCACTGAAATTTCTTTTTTTTTTTTTTT